AAGATATTAAGGAACTCAATCCAGTGAACAGCTTTTAATACAATAATCAATCAAGTACGCAAATTAGGTCACATTAACCAAATTTTGGTATATTTACTTTTTGAGCGATGTTTCCACATAACGGTGTTTTTAAATGAAGTCAGATGAAATAGTCTAAAGTATTGAGGCCCTAATGAAACGCGAAAGAATGAACAACGAAACATGAACACCTGACAATATATCCCCTTACTAGCATCAAGGACAAGCTTGTTTAAAATTTGATGAACATATAGTCACAAATTAGAATCATTATACCAACATTTTTTGTTTGTTTGTTTTTAAAGTACAAGTGAACTTTGCCTTTGATCTTTTTGAGTATAGACTCGTATTGAATTGCTGTATGTGTATGTGTGTATATATATATATATATATATATATATATATAAATATATATATATATATATATATATATATATATATATATATATATATATATATATATATATATATATATATATATATATGCATACACTTCTAAGTTGAGTCTGAATACATTGACTCAGATCAGCCATTGCATAATGAGTCGGCAGATATAAGTCTATGCAGTTTGTTAGCAGTAATATAAGAACAAACAGTATAAACCCTTTTCTGCCAGCACTATGTTGTTTACAGTCGGACTAGACTTAAATCAATTATAGATTTTCGGTGTAAAAATCATTGTGGGACATACTTTACTGTTCTAAAGTTAATTTTTGACAACATGACATCAGAATCACTCTATCGCTTGACCACAGGTTTATCTACATGCACGATAAAGTGTTGGTAAAACGAGTATCGTGAAAGTCATGATATTGTGAAACAAAAGTTTTAGAAAGGGATAGACAGAGAAGCCACTGAACAAGCCATTGTCATTTTTTTTTCCGGCAGAGAGGGTGAACCCTACAATAAGAATTCAGCAAATATATTTAAACATGAAAATCATATTAAATAAAGCAAAAAATATAGGGTCAATAACGCTAAACCAGAACCTCTAACCGAATTGAGATTGTCTCTGCGTGGATTGGTTCACGCTGTTACTTTCGTAACACCTCTGTGTTTGTAAATGCTATGCGTGTTCGTGTATGTACTCGTGCACGTTATTTTTGTTAGTCCACCCTCTCTGCTGCTGTAATATAAACCAATATTATAATAATAATGATTGGTGAAGCTCACTCTGCTAGTTTAGCCCGAGAGCGACAAGAGCCAATTAAAAATTATCTTCACGGGGCGAAATTTCGAATCAGAATGTGACTATTATAAAATAATAATGCTGACCATGGACGATTTATGGACACTTACACCTTTCTTTGAATTTCTCAAAAACCATAAAAACACTATCTCCACAACAAGATGATCGTTGATGATGAAGGAAATAATGATCATTTAGTTTAACCAAGCAAATTTATCGAATTGTTATAGTTGCATAATTTTACCGGTTGTAATTACTCAAACAAATTGCCTTGCAACTGTAAACAGGAGTGACATATTTTCTTTTTTTATAAAAAAAAATATATTCCATGAATATTCTTGAGCATAAATTAATTAAAATCCCTGATAATCACACACACACACACACACACACACACACACACACACACACACACACACACACACACTTTATCCTAGAATATTATAGAATGACAAAAATGAGCAAAAATCGAAAACTAACCCAAGAAGACATTAATGATATGAAGGCGTTGCGAGGTAAAATAGGAGTATCTGATATTGCTGAAAATATGGTACTGGTATAGCAAGATTGTATCGTATATGAGACAGTGATAACAATCACGGTGATAATAATCAGCGTTGTGATGACTGTCAGACTCTTTAGAAGGATTTCAATGAGAAATATAAAAGCCTGTCAATAAAACATGAATTACTCTGAGAAAAGCTAATGAAGAAAGAAAACAAAATAAATATCATCAAAAAAGAACTTGACAATAAAACTAAAAATAACGGTGATGTGAAACAAGAGAACTGATAAAAATGAGCAGCGACTATGATACACCGATATCCGACCAAAACGATGGTGTAAATAATAATGAGAAATTTGATTGTGAACATAAATGCTATTCATTCTACGTGATTTTGACATGTGATTCTCCGTACTCAATCAAATTTGACGAATAGGTTGTTTCAACAAAAACCAGCAGAAGAAATCACGGTGAAGGAATTATCTAAAGAGGAATGCTGGGATCGTCTTGATGAGGATCTCTTTGATGGTTCACATGACCACGTGAGTGGACTTTCCGAAACAACTCCACAAGATGAGCTAACCGATATTGTCAAATATGGTTATTGGCATATATATGAATACTCGTCGTTGTATATGAATCAGTTCAACAATGCTGTTTAACATTCAACGAAAGAAAGCACAATTAATAATTTTGTGGTTCTTGGTAACAATGTAAAATGTCATGTAAGAGAATTATTATACAACATTTAGATAGATTTTACTTGTTTATATTCGATGAAGATTTTAATTGTTAATGAATTTATTGGACAAGCTGAAATAATTCAAAAATTCAAATTGAGATATCCAGTATTTGATCATGATACAAAATATTTTCGTGAAATAGTAACATATCGTCATGGTCATGAAGAAGCTGAAATAAGGCAAACAAATAAGTAAATCAGCATCGAAGAAATCATCCATTACATTTCTCAGTTGTGGATTGTTCTCGTGATCGTGTATTCATGTTTGAAACAAATAGAGGCTGTCACGTTCTTTGTAAATCAGCTGCACTGACGCTTGATCATTAGAAGGCTTTAACAAAACGAGTAGCAAGTGAAAAGAATCCCTGCTGGAGCATTGATAAACAAGCTTTCTTCATTGTATAAAGCTGAATAAAACAAAATCACATAAACCAGGGAAAATACTGTATGTAAAATCTAGTTGATCATTTTGTTACATCCGAGTTATTAGTTTGTCCAACTTCTATTTAACTTCCATATGTAAAATGTGACCTCGATGAAATAAGCGACAAAAAAGTCATTGTTGGTTGTGAAAAATTCCCGCTGAAGATATTGAACGAATTTCTCAAGCATTAAAAAGAGAACTTGATCAGTAAATCAGTACTGTAAATGTTTCTCATAATAGATTTACAATATCAAGACGACCAGGACATTATTGCAATATTTGTGAGCGTCGTCATGGATATAATTATGTCAATGACTTCATCGAAGACAAGTGCGACAACTGCCTAACGGCAATCATTATACCGTAGTTTGTCGGAGAAGCACTGGGGAAAAAAACTATTCCTCTCGATGAAAATATTTTTATGAGAAAATTTAGAAAAAAATCGACATAGAATCATCTAATCCTGAATTACCTACACGTATCATCGATAAGAAATATATCAAATATTTGATATCAATGAAGCGTAAATATCACTACCCAGAATTTTCAAAGAACGAAAAACCTGATTAATCATATATTGCATTACCAGCTCATTAAAGTCGTCTTGGACATCGAGTCATTTCCGATGAAGACTATTTCAATCAGCGTGTGGAATGGGAAAATCAGAAGCAGCTTAGAATTCATTAAAACGAAACCAATATGTGGCTGTTATTAGCTACATAAAGATATTCACAAAAAAAAGTAAAATCGAATCATTAATAGAATCGTATTCTGCTATTTCTAGTGACATTGTATTTAAGTCCGACGATAAGCGACGTGTTGTTGTTCAGGAGGAATAGTTGCATCGGATCGTTGGAGTACCAGACGTGTTGATTGTTGATGAATGGCATAAAATACGAAGACAACAGTTCTCATCGGTACGATTAAGGAAAGATCATTGGGACAAATTTGCTGGTTTTGTTAGTATTCTCTGAGGAATTAGGATCAGTCGAAGCAACCAAGCAGGCGATTCATCATTGTCGTTGTGTTGAAGAAATTCATTATTCAGCACCAAGAAAACAACGCGACTGTAAACTTCTTGTTACTCGTGAAGACAAAAAAAATTATAGTTTATCGTGAACGATTACTCGATTACAAAAAATAAATTATCGAGATCTTTAACACAGGAGAATTATTACTTCCATATGGATTTGCATATCTCAGCGATATTATCTGATAAGAATAATTCTAAAATGTATTTCTCGCCGAGATTGGTAACAATGATGTCGAATAATGGTTTTAAAATCACCGATAATTCCTCAGATGATTACAAAACATGGAAACGAAAAAATAATACCCCTCTCCCAAATAATGAACAAATAGCGAATAATCCTGTTGTTAATGATTGTTTGAAAACAAGCGTCGGTGATCGAATAAAACAATCTCAGATTACATAATATAAGATAGTGCGTGAAAACAAATCAATATTACAAGTATAACCCTTGTGACAATGAAAAGTTAGAACCATATGATGCCAAGAAATTATTCTTGAATAATGTGCTCCAGTGTGATGCTGGAAAGTAACCAGCGGAACAAGTTGAACAGTTATATAATAATTCAGCACAAATAAAACGAGTTCAACGGGTCATCAGTGATAAATTCAATAAGGGATCGATGCAATCGATGCTTGTATGTTTCATTCAGATAAAAAAAAAAGTCCACGTGAAAAACTAAACGCGATAAGGAATTTTCTGACGATGATTAATTTGCCTGATATTGTTCCTGAAGATTTATCGATAATGACTCTCTTTGTAACAGGACCTGATTTAAGAATATATATCGAAAATCTTCTACTTGATAAAGATCAGTTACAACGAACTATTTAAAAATTGGTCTAGCATATTTCTTGAGACAATGTGATGTGATGTGATTTTGATTTTTAACATAGCTTTAACAATTTTTCAGTCATATCGCTACGATGTCCGCAGTGTGGCAGTTGATAGTGATGTCTAGCACTGGAGAATCATGCCGCAGACATGTAGCATGATGTCCCACCCAGTCCAATTTTCCTGACACAAGACCGACCAGTCCTAACACTAACTTCCTAATGTTGAGCGCCAAGTGAGGAAGCTCTTAGCACAATTTTTGTAAGACTTTGGGGATCGAACCCACGACTTTCCGCATCCGAGGCGGACGCTCTAACCACTAGGCCACCTGAGATAATTCTTCATACAAAACAGCTGTCAAAAATATAATCGAAAAAAAAAATAATTTATAAGGATTTGGAGCAACTTTAACAGCAGATAATAAAAAGACCCTTCAAGGTCAGATTATATACTAAATTATCCTGTATGGCCTAAATCAGACTTAATTGATGATCCTCGATGGATCGAATACTACAATGCTTGTCAAGGATTTCATGGCGATAATGATGTTATTGTCCCTCGTGATAAAATCACGGACAGTAATTATGTTACGTGTGAAGATTTTACTGACGATAAAGCTAACGACTATTATCACTAATATTTCATGGACGATAATGATGATACAGAAAGTGATGACAATACCCATGATAACCATACCATCATGCTGAAATTTCATGTCTGAAACATCAATAATTGGCTTAGCATATATGATCAAGAAACCGCACAATGACAAAATAACTGCTCCACAACCGATGTGGAATCGCGCCATATTTCATATTATTATTATATACAAACCTAATGAAATGGCACAATTTCTCAATCGTGATAATGAATATTTGTCTCAGATCCGTTATGTAACCGATCAAGTGTCCCGAATGATCCGTGATATTTTTCTAGCTATTTTATTAGTCTTTCTTGATTGATTTTATGCTTTATTTTTATGTCAAGATTTCGCTGTGAGGCAATAAAATGTATCATCAACTGTTCAAAATTTTTTTTTTCCACATTGAACCTCATTTTGTTTGTCCATGATGATGTTGACTGTTTGATTCAAAAAATATCTTTTGCAGCCTTTGACAATTTAAGGTAAGTAAATTTACAAAAAGATCAACAATTTCAATAAAATATTCTTTCAATTTCTTATTCGTTCTTCCTCTTCTTTATAGATTCTATCACAGCGATTAACACCCTCTATTGCAGTATTTTTCATACTTCTCTTCGCATGAATGTGGTCAACCAAGTTTCTTTTCTATATCTGTTTCAGACTTTTTGAGATTTCGTCACAGGATTTCTTTATCAAATATATATCTAACATAATGCTCTGTAGCATCGTTGAAAATATTTCAAGCTTCGATAAAAAGTTCAAGCTCATCGTTGTTGTACGTGAATTCGATTAATGTGTCCGCATAATTGAAATAATGCTTATTTCCTTCATCAATGACGGAAATAATTAGAGTTTTTATAGTTTTCAAAAAATTCAAAGAAATGATTAAGTGTCCACAAATCGTTCGTGGTCACCATTATTATTTTATAATAGTCACAATCTGATTCCAAATGTCGCCCCAGGAAAATATTTTTTTAATTGGCTCTAGTCGCTTTCGAGTGAGCTTCACCGATCATTAATGATAAAATATTGGTTTAATTACAGCAGCAGAGAGGGTGGACTGACAAAACTTATGTGTAAGAGTACATAAATGAACACGCATAGCATTTAAAAACACAGAGGTGTCACGAAAATAACAGCTTGAAATATGAACTAATCCACGCAGAGAGAACCTCAAATCGTTTAGAGGTTCTGGTTTAGCATTATTGACCCTACAATTTTTGCCTTCTTTAGTATTATTTCATGTTTAAATATATTTGCTCGAATTCTAATTGTAGGATTCACCCTCTCTGCTGCTTAGCGGCGAATAAAAAAGACGCACCTTGTGGGTCAGTCTTATGGGAAATTGGTATTGGTGTATTGCCAATTGCCATAAATTCTCACAAACAGTCTAACTGCGAACTGCACACACCAAACTCTCCCGTCACCTAATGCATGTCAAGTAGATCTGGGTCAATGCAGTTTGTTGGGAGTAATTGGTAAAATATGCAACACAGATCCTGTTCTGCTGGCATAGTATGGCTGATCTGGGTTTATGGTGCCTGCATGCAGCTGGACTTTACTGGCATGTGAGCACAGATAATACAATAGTAAGGATTCCCCGCCCCAAGTTCTGCACAACATGGTGTCTTTCAAGCAGGTGGCGCAATGATTCTACTTATGTAAGCGAGATCGAAACTCTTAGAATATCATGACAAAATCTGTATACTGTATTTCATAATTTTTCATACATGAAAAAATAATTATTAATTTCAGTGTATGAAAAATTAGATGTACATGTAAAATAAACAATTATAATTTGGTGGTACTGCCTGTGTACAAAAAAATCAAGGGATCGTACCTGAATAAATTCTATGGAACAAACGCTACTTGACAACCTCATGGTACAAATGTACAATGTAAATATATTTTTTTTCTCATTCTGCTCTCAACACAAGAATCAAATTACAATAAAAATTTTTGTTGTTATCATTGAATGAGAGAATTTTTGTTGCTATTAGTGAATGAGAGAGAGAGAGAATTATGTCTGTGTGCAAGCTCATCTGCATTTTGAGAATATGTTGTTGTTGTGTAATGTTGGCAAAATGATTAAGATGGTTTGTGTTAGTATTATTCATGGTTATTATTTATTGGTAAATTGTACATAATGATATGAGTCCTCATTGTCAAAAAAAATTAAGTGCAACTTATATTTTTACAGCAACAATAACCTCATTATCAAACTGCAATAAAAATATATAATTTGAAATCACATTTTAGTTAATGCTCAGGAGCACAAGTGTGTGTGTGAGAGAGATTTAACAAAATTATCAGTGTACAACAAGTATTTATTCAGGGTGGTTTTTATTTCTAGCATTTGCAAAGAGGAAAAAAAAAAACAACAAAGCACACAAATTGATTTAACAGAGTCTGTGACTTTCAAATTTACAATGGAAAAAGACAAGGTTTTTATATTTTAAGCTTGTATGACTACAATGAAACAATAAGACTAATTGACCAATGGTCTGTGGTTTTTCACTTTAGTGTGTACGGAGATGATTTACACTTTAGTGTGTACGGAGAGAATTTTTGCTGGGTAAAAAAACATTAAAAGGCTTCCAAACTCGTTTTAAAACCCAAGTAGTGTGTTGTTATTGTGATGGACTTAATAAGGAGAACTAATTAAGTATAATATTTAAGAGTATGGTCTGTAAAGTCATTTGACCATTTATTAATAAACACCAGTAGATATTGTAATTACATGACAATAAGAGAGCTTATGCACATGGGCACCGGCAAGATTTTTAAAAGGGGGAGAAAGTCAGGATTTTTTGCAAAGGAGGGTGGGGTGAATAATCAGTCACAGTGGAAAGAGTAAGTAGAGTAAGCAATCCAAAACAAAGCTAATATTTGCTAAGCGTTTACAATAGAACCTTGTGAAACATTTTCAGCTTCATTTTAGCATGATTAAACTCATTGGAATTTACACACACACACACACACACACACACACACAAACACACACACACACACTTGCAGATTAATTTTCAGGAAAGTCATGTGACTCCCTTGACCAGTGCTGAGGACACTCATGCTTCTGCATTAATCATTATATTTTCTACCCAACAATTATTTATAAAGTTTTGTAAAAACAAAATGACAGTACAGTATTTTTGATAATATTTTGCAAAAATAAATATTCTTAGTAAACATTTTATGTCCAATAATTTAACGGATTTTTTGAAAATACAAAGTGATATATATATGAAAAACATTTTGATAACTGGATTGTGTATGAAAAAATTAAAGCTTACAAAAAAATACATGAAATACAATACATACATTAATATTCTACCAAATTTGTAGTTGAACACATTTACGGATGTAACAGATGCAGTTTTTTTACTGTTGATGGTGCTTCTATTGATGTGAACATATCGATGGAGATTTCACACCATTCACAAGTAAGACAAATATTAGCTGTTTGGTGTTTTCTATAATAAAAAAAAAAACAAATCTGATTTCATTCTGTTCCTTTTTTATTTTTTCTTCACATTATCTCCATGGAATCTGCATGAAAAAATTCCATTAAAAAAGTCAACAACAATTTTTAAATTTAAATTTAACTTATTGCCTTGTCAGTTCTCCTACATACCATCTATACTGGCTTATAAGACAAGTCAAATTGCAAATAACAAAGATCCTGATCTACAATCATAGCATACATGCCAAACCCTGATGAGGAAAAGGCATAATCTAAGTGGACAAAAGGAGTAATCTGAGCAGTATAACAATAGAATTCAAGGTGCAAATGTACAAAACATGTATATTTTGGCATCAGGAATCATCCTGTTTGAACAAAGCACCAAAGTTGTATTCTACCTCTAGTTGTAGTTAGTGTTCTATTAAGAGCTCGGTAAATAATGCCCCTGAATTTATACAATTCGTTTCCACAACTTAGTTCTGCTGTAAAAAAGTTACCTTAGTATTGGAGTTAGTAAAATGATCAAGACATCTGTTTTACACTATGTCCAATATTAAAATCCTTTCCACAGCCTACAATGGGTGTGAAGCTACCTTTGAATGGTACTGTACTGTGTTACTCATGTATTCATCTCCGAGTCATTTTTTTTCTTTTAATCCATATGTGAAATCATTTGAGAAACATTTTTGCTGTAACATACGCATCGACTAGAATAAATACCGCCAAAATCCTACAGAATGGTTCTGTAACAAAAATTATTTTTAACAAAGACTATGTGAGCAAAGATTAAAAGTTAGAAAACCAGTCTGTTCTGTCCCAGACAGCTGCTATAAATAGAAACAGAGGTCTTCTTGGTAATAGGGCAGCTGCTATAAATAGAACATAACACATAGGAAGGTCAACAGACAAGTGTACTTTTATGTCAGTTACACAGAAGCTGTCTTTTCCAGAATGTTTTGTGTGATTAGTGGGATGTTAATAAAAATGAGAAAACAAATTTGCGGGGTAGGGAGGGGATATACCAAAAAAGCGTAATCCAAATGCATTTACAGGTAAGGCGTAATGGTTGGCATGTATGTCATAGCATAACGCACCTGCATACCAGGATATATGTTGCTTGTTCTACTGATTACTCCTAATAAACTGAACAGACTCAGATCTGCCAGCACATTATGTGGTAGCAGATCTGGATCTGTGTAGTTTGCAGTTAGACTTTTATAAGCAAGCA